ATAAAAGTCACACTGTGATCCAATGCACAACCTATATTTGGGAACTGCAAAGTCGGTTTTTAAACTGTGGGTAAATGAAGGCGTTCTTTCGAAAGAAGGACTGAAAGAAATCGAAAGAAAGATAAAGAATTTTGACATTTTCAATGGACAGGGGAGACTACCTCACAAAATATCAGCTAACTATGGATGCTACACAGCATCACAGTGGAAGAACTGGACGTTGGTTTATTCCATGTATGCATCAGACGGTTTCATTCCAGAACGGAACTTGCAATGTTGGCAATCATTCGTTCTGGCCTACAAGTTTCTTACACAACCTGTAATCACGACCATATCCTTGGAAAAGCCGACTTTCTGTTGATGCAGTTTTGCAAGAAGTTCGATAAACTCTATGGTCCCGCCAAGGTTAAGCCAAATATGCTTCTTGGACTCATGATGATGGAAGCATTGAACTTGGAAACCAAAGACCTGGAAAGGTTTCTCACCATTTTCAGCATAATTTACCAGTAGAAGGAGGATACCGAAGTCATGTCTTTGCCGTTGTTGACTGGTATGAGAAACATCACAGATTTGGCAATTATAAAAAACCTGTCGAAGTACATAGCACAACCTTCATTGAAAGTGGTCCATCCAGATTTTTCCAGCCACAAGAATGACCTGCAAGTTTGCAGTGGCAGTTCAAGAAATTCCCGGTGAACTTGTCATTGTACCATTAAACCGTACTTTTACATAATACTAGAAACTGAGTTTTACATGATCAGCCATCAAGTAATTTACTGACCCGCTATCTTTTAACACAATATATCTAATTATAACTGAGGGGGCCCTCAGTCTAGGCTTGAGGCAGCAGGTATTCTTAAACCAGTCCAATTCTCAGATTGGGCAGCCCCCGTGGTTCCAGTAAAACAAGATGGTACCCTAAGGTTGTATGGGGACTATAAAAGCACGGTAAATCAAGTATCAAGGCTAGAACAGTACACCCTCCCTACATTTGATGATATTGCAGCCAAATTGGCTGGGGGACCTAAATTCTCCAAATTAGACCTAAGTCATGCCTATCAGCAACTACCCTTGGATGAGGAATCGTCGCAGTACGTAGCAATCAATACCCATCGAGGCTTATTCACCTATACCCGGCTCCCTTTCGGGGTGTCCAGTGCTCCAGCAATATTCCAGAAAACCATAGAAGGGCTGCTGCAAGGGATTCCTAGGGTGGCAGTGGTACAGTGGCGCGAGTGAGACAGAACATTTGAAAGTCCTTGAGCAAGTGTTGACCACGCTAGAGGAAGCTGACTTGAGGCTTAAAGAATGCAAGTGTGCGTTCCTGGCCCAGAGTGTCATGTACCTTGGCAATGTGATATACGCACAGGGGATCCACCCCATACAAGATAAGGTGCAAGCACTTCAAGAAGCTAGGGCACCTAATAATGTCACCGAGCTTAAATCCTACTTGCGACTGTTGAACTACTACAACCGCTTCCTGCCACACTTAGCAACAGCCTTAGCAACACTGCATTAGTTGTTGCGAAGTGAGACACCTTGGAAATGGGAAGAGAAACAAAAGAAAAGTTTTGATGGATCTAAACAGCTGATCATGTCCGTAGACGTGTTGGTTCATTATGACCCGTATCAAGACCTAGTGTTACAGTGTGACGCTTCTCCATACGGCGTTGGAGCGGTATTTTCACATCGTATAGCCGATGGAACTGATAAACCCATTGGATTTGCATCGAGAACCCTTAACGCTGCTGAGAAGAATTACTCACAACTGGATCGAGAAGGGTTGGGCGTCATGTTTGGTCTGAAGAAATTCCATAAGTACTTGTATGGACGTCATTTTAGGATCTTGACAGACCACAAACCCCTAAAATCATTATTTAATGAGAAAAAAACAATTACCAACTACAGAATCACCTCGAGTCCAAAGATGGCGGTGACTCTGAGAGGTTATGAGTACACCATTCAGTATAGATCTGGAAAAGGAAACGGCAATTCAGATGCTCTCAGTAGACTACCCTTACCGGTAACTAAGCAGGTTAAGGGAGAAGACAGAGTCCTTCTCATACAAGAGCTGGACGAGTTCCCGCTAACAGCTGAACAAATACGTACCTGGACCCAACGTGACCCAGTATTAGCACATGTAAAGGAATATCTTTCACGAGCGTGGCATGATGATAGCACCGTACGTGACACATCTCTGAGCCCATACCAAACTAAGAAGTTGGAGTTGAGCGTGCACGACGGATGTGTACTTTGGGGCGCACGAATAGTGATCCCACCGCAAGACAGAGAACAAGAGGAGCTGCATCAAGCACCTCCCGGTATTAACCCCATGAAGGGGTTAGCAAGAGGTTATGTGTGGTAGCCGTCAATGGATAAGGGCTTGTAGAACTTAGTCCAAAAATGTACAATCTGTCAAGTACATCGGAAGGCACCAGCGGCGACTCCTTTGCACCCTTGAGAGTGGCCAGACCAACCTTGGAAAAGAATCTATATGGATTATGCAGGTCCGTTTATGGGCAAGATGTTCTTGATTGTTGTAGATGCCCATTCCAAATGGATCAATGCAGAAATTATGAATTCTACTACATCAGCTGCAACTCTATCCAAGCTTCGAGCAATGTTTGCAACTCATGGGCTACCAGAAGTGGTCGTCTCAGATAATGGATCTAACTTCACCAGTCAAGAGATAGAGGAGTTCTTGAGTCAAAATGGGATAGTGCATATCACCTCTGCACCCTACCACCCGGCAACAAATGGCCTAGCTCAAAGGTCAGTGCATACCATAAAGGGATGTCACCCCGTTAGCTGCAGCACCAATTCCAAACAAGGACATGGAACAGTCTACCTTGGTTCTTGACAAGGCTGGAGGCGAACACACGGAGCCTATGTCAAATGAACGATATTCTAAACGAGAACGAAGACAGCCAACATACTGACTTAACTACAAACTCTGACGCTGAAATGAACACCTCAGATGTTCATCAGAAAAAATCTGTTAACATTTGGTCAGCTACGATTTCAAGCTCACGCTCCCTCATGTCAGCCCATACAAATTATGTCTCAAAAACACGGTTTTTGGATCTTTTCTCAAAATAATGACTATCTAGGCAAAAAACAGAAGCGGATTCAGTTAATTCAGCTATTCACGGACTGTATTATATGATTTAGATTGAATTCTATTGAAAATAAACACCGTACTTTTTGAGTTGAATGTACGCTATTGGACGTATTTTACAAGAGAAAATGCATGACATAACCGGGGTCAAGATAAAAAATCGTCTCTCCTCGATATAAAACAGAACCTGTCAAAATAACATAAGTGGATTTGAAAACCCCGGGCTTTCCTGAACAGTTTGGTATATAATTCATAGGAATTTGTTAAAATTTAGAACCGTATTTTTGCTGATTTCATAAGCTCATACTATCTGTTGGCCTATACATTCGCCTCTTATGGTTTCTTAGGTTTCGTAGCCTCGAAAACACGCTAATTACTAGTTAGCGAAAGAACAGAAGATTTACGGGTCATTTAGGATGTTTTGTCACGCAGTTTACTTGTGCTATAGAACTTTACTTTGAAGGACAACCTTTTGCTTTGGAAAGAGAGGAAAAAGAACGAAAAGAGCGAATATTCCAAATGTATGGGCAATTTTTTCTAATGTGAGAAAATCGATAATCTTCATGATAAGACTTCGAAGTCAGGCTAACAACAACAACAAGCAAATCGCTATATTGATGGTTTTAACGGCGGCCACTATATGATGTTGGAGGAGCTTAACAAAAGATTTGTCAATGACTTCTTATGTTATATCCTCCAACATGGCCGCCGTGTGTTTTGTTATTTAGTTCTCTTGGGAATGGTTGAAAACCATTAATTGGATCTGAAGAAGATTGTCAACGAAGGAACTTGAATCGTAAATATCTAAGCTTAACTTTTGTGTAAAATATCCTGATTCTTTTGCTTGCTTCTATTTTGTTCAATAGTACCCTGCGAGCAGAGTCTCCTTTTAACGCCTCTAAGGGCGAGAGAAGGAAAGGAAAGGAGCCCGTAGAGGAGTTAAAAGAAGACTCTACTCGCAGGGTATAGTTCAATAGCTTTAGGGTAAGATTCAATATGGCACAAATAACCTTGAGAGACAGCCAATTCAAAGTTGAAGTAAGAAGTAAGAAAAAGTGCAAAATAGACAGATTTGACTGTCTCATTAATGAGATGTTGCTGATCAAACAACTCAAACCTAGTTTGAATGTACAACCAGATTCCATACGTGCCAAACGTTTTGTATGATTATTCGATTATATATCTATTTTTTATATCTATAGTTATTATTTCTATATGTATTCTACTTTCCTAGTTCATTTTTGGCTTGATAATGACGTTGTGCAACGTCGAAACATCGTCACATTTTTAACATGTTTACTCGTTATGTTTGGTTTAAATTACACGTGCAGTTGCACGTCCTTAGCAGAAAACATGGTAAATATTCTTACAGACTGTGATATATTAGAAAAAGTTATCAATTTTACAAATGTACATAAATATAATGATGTTATAGTGTCAATAAAAGTACAAGAATTCTGATCTCGTGCAAAGTATGTATATTTTAATTTTAGACAGTACAGAAAAACGCTTTTTGACCTCTCGTTAAACTCGATATTTTATAAACACGCTAGTTTGGACCTAAAGAGCAATATCAAGACATCAAGCCTTGTACTTTGGGAGAGGTTATGCTTTGATCATTAAAAAGTATGACATTTTCTAGCCAGAGTTAATACAGGAAGAGTCCCCTCCCCTCTATTAACTATGTTCTTGTTTGACAGAATTGTGTCACAAAATTGAAGCAACAGTTGCACCTCGCTGTTTTTCTGCCCTGCCGCTGTCATTTAAAAGCATAAGAGCAATAGAAAGCCCGAGTAAACGCTCAGAGAGCGTCTAGTTCCTAAATGAATCAAAACTGAGTATCCTGTAGTACTCAGTTTTCATTATGCCGTTTACTTTCTAGCTTGGATGTACTGGAGGACCCCATGCAATGCAAAGATGGGCATAACTTCTGTAAAGATTGCATTACACGATGTCTGGGGCACAAACAGATATGCCCCTTGGGTACCAATGCACTAGAACTCGATAGCCTTTCACGAAATTTGTTTGCTGAAAATATGGTAAACAACCTTAAAGTATACTGTCATCTACCAGAGAGTGATGGACAATCAGCGGCTAACACAGGTGAGTGAGAATTACATGGCGTAGCATTTTAAGTTGCTGTAGAAATATGTTTAAATGTTTTTTTTTTTAGCTAACCGTTCTGAAGTTCTCGATCTCTCTATCATTGATTATATTCTTGAAATATAGCACTCGGTTAGTATATAATTTTCGCTAAGTTTTGAATGCCCCTTTTCCCAACCCAGTGCAAGCTCCAAGAACGTCTCCTAGTTCAGATTTTCTTGGCGTCTTGTTATCAAGCAGAACGAACCCAAATATTTCTGATTGGGTTGGAAATAGCATGTTCTCACTATTGCACATCGTAGAGAATGTGAATAGACCGGAAATTCTTCTTTAGAGCTTTAATATGACGACTTATGCTGTTTTGGTCTAGAAATGTTTAACTTTTTCGTGTCATATTGCACTTCCTGACCTTGTGTCATGTCTACAGACACAGAGGCATATGAGCTCAAGTGTGACTGGACCGGAGAGCTACAGTCACTTGCCCAACACAGAGAAACTTGTCCTTTCCAACAAGTACAGTGTCCTAATGTGAACTGCAACGCCAACATACAGAGGAGAGAACTGGAGGATCATGATAAGATATGCGAGTATAAAGTCGTGGAATGTGAGAAATGTACACAAGCTCTGGTCCGACTTGAGGTACGGTTTCACAACAAAATTTACTGTCCAGAAGAGGTGGTTCCATGTCCTAACGGCTGTAGAAGTCTAGAAACTGGACAAATAAACGAGATAAAAAGGTATGGAATGTTCATCGGGTTTTTTGATACCCCGAGGCATTTCTTTCTTTACCCCTTAGTTTTTTATTTTTTATCTATTTTTTCATTTAAACATATTAACTCTTTTTGTTCGCTCCAAGAGCTAAGCTCATCGCGGGAAATTACACAGAACATAATTGCAATGTTTTTGGAGTTTTTAGGAAAAAGGAAAAGAAAAATAAGTTTAACATATTAGCAAGAAAAAACGACAGCATATGTATAAAAAAAGTACAATGGAGATTACATCGTGGCCATGGGAGATTACATGTAACATATTAGAAAGAAAAAAAACATTTCTATATAGTAAAAGTACAATGGAAAAGAAAATATCTACAAAATCAATTAAGCGTTCTTAACTCTATGCAAATCTTTTGTTGTCTATCAAATATTGTTGGACACTCAAGAACGTACAGTTTTTGATTTTGCTTAAAAGTTGAATGAGGACTGAGAACCACATAGAAAAAAGTTTACATTATCAAACTCTGAAGTAAGTTGTTGGAAAAGCTGTGAGGAAAGCGAAAGCAGATTTTGACGTTGGGACCTTAGTCTTATAAGGGTTTCCTGGAAATACTCACTTGCTCTTGAAAAAGCATAACTTTCCCATTCTGCACTCAAAATAGACCTTAGCACCAACTATTGTGATTAAAGCTAGTTCGACTATGTTTAACATTTTTTATTCGTGACTAGTGTTACTCACGAGTGGTAATTATATGTAGCATAGATGCTTTGAGAGTTCATAGGGGGAGAACCAATGAAACTGACGATAGAGCGTAATGGGACCCCAGGTAATGGATTTTCTATTCAATCGAGGTTTATAGTCGAACTAGACTTAATCTTTTATCTCCAACGTACAAGCACATCATTGATATTGTGAACATGCTTGCAAGAAATATCAAGGGAGGTTAGCAGAGTTATGGTCAAGGGGCCACCAGATTCGTGTGGGGCCAGGAGATGCGGGCCAACAGATGTTGGTGGTACGTGCTAACCCCTTCTCAGACATATCATGAGAAAAAAGAAAGACATTTGTCAATGAAACATAATTATAGTGTGTGACTGAATAACCGAGCAGAGTAAAAGAGAAAAATCGTATTGTTTGTCCTCAGGATTAACTTAGACAACCATACAAGAAATGACTGTGGCAAGACAATACTGGACTGCCCATTCAAGGATCAGGGATGTTTAGTCCAAGTCGAACGACAACATGTCGATAAACACGTACAAGACAACATGGCTGCACACATGATGTTACTGGCCAAACAATGTTCATCGCTCACTAAACAGAATTCATCACTTACCGAACAGTGTTCGGCACTGAAACAAAACGTTTTGTCTCTTACTGAAGAAAATCGACTTCTAAAGGATGAAGTTAAGGTAAGAGAGTAGTACAGAATCATGACGGAGTTATTCTTATATAGAATATACTATACTCCTAAAGACAAACCAATTTAAGGTAGGAGAGTAGTAGATAATGAACAGAACTTAGTACAACTTATAGTACTTATAAGAACTTAGTACTTCGGGAAAGTAAGTTTTTTATTGGCAGGGCTGGGGGATTCGCAGTAAGATTTTCATAAATGGTTGTAGCCCTTTCCCTTTTATTCAGCAACAAGGAAACAGCTTTTGGCAAAACAAAAAGGTTTGAACCTCCACAAAAGTTCAATTTTTTATTGATCCTCTTCTTTGAAGTCCTAGCTCTCCACCCCCTTCAACTTCCTTCTGCCCCCC